AGCAGTAGGAGGAGGAGGAGGAGCAGCAGCAGCAGCAGTGTGTCGGTCTATCTGTTCATCTGTCTATCTGTCTATCTTTCTTTCTGCCTACTTATCTACCGAACCACCTGTCTGTCTGTGTATCTGTAGTCTAGACAGGCGCATATGTATGCGAAATGCCTTTTTGTGCTTGAGTGCGTGCGTCTGCCTGCTTGTTTGTTCGGTAAGAAGAGCCATGGCCACGTTTTTGTTGACGTTTTTCGTCGATCTTTTGCCGCGCCAACCCTCCGAATCCCTCCTCTCCCTTTCCTAAAAACCTGCTAAGAGCTGGTCTTGATCAGGTACCTTGCCGGAAGCCCATAAGTAGCCTGCAGGCGTGGAACAAACAGCTGGCAAATCTCTGACGATCGCAGCGCGACCTTCGCGAGGAGAAGCCTGGTGTCGCTGTTTCTGCCACTCTGGCCCTGGCAACGGCAATGGTGGCCATCCGAGCCTTCGAACAAAGGAAGAAGGGTGCCTTTCTGGCTTTGGAGTTTGGCGGTCTCTTCTTGAATTCCAAAGACGCCGTCAGCTTGGGACTCATCAAAACTGATAGAGTCACTTGCCCACAGCCCTTTCCAGAATCCAGATGCCAAGGCAAATCCTTTTGAGGATGGGGTTGAGCTCTGGGCGTTCCTGGAGGCCTGGGCGACGGCTTGAAGGGTTGAATCAGCCACCTCATCTTGGACAGTGATGACACCTGACGCAGAGCTGATGGGAGTTAGAGCAAGCAGAGGCTGGCTCTCCAGGACAAGGAAGCAGCATTGGAGCGCAATAAGCCCATCCCATCTTGAACGGGCCGCCAGCCTGAATTTGCTTGCCCTGCAACATCACTCAGCTCGTCCAGTGCCAGCGTTGAGTCGTGATGGAAGGTTGGTTGCTCGAGATGGGGGGTTGACTTCGGCTTCGGTTGTGTAAGGTTTTTACGAGTGTACTGAGGAAGTGTCACAGCATCCCCTAGACCTCGAACGAGTCCGAGTGTGAGAACCGACTCCCATCATCAAAGCCTCAAAGTTTGGCGGCTCACCAGAGCCTACACATAAACGGGGACAGCAGGTGCACAGCCAAGCCAACAAGTCATGAGCTCTTCGCCGGGCAGGTCGACCCCGATGAGTCGCAGTCCTCGGTCTGACAGCTAAGTTCCGTGCCTCGGCACTGGCCCCCTCGAGCAAGTTCCGCACAAACAGCAGGGCTGCAAGGTTTTGGCCTTCTTCCATAATTTTCTAGTTGTTGGCGGGGCCACGAGAGACTTTAGCCGTTCAGAACTAGGCAAGCTGTCATTTTGGCGTTTTCTTGGCATCGTATGGTCGACTTTCCTGGTGCCTCAGTCACTGTCTGCGTACTATTAAGTGTGTGCTACTTGCTCTAGCAGCGGCCATGTTCTTCGGGGGCTTGGCCGGATGCCGACCGTGACCCACCAACAAGTTGAATTGGGTTCAGAGTACGCTGAACAAGCCCGGCCTGCCCTGCTAGTTTCTACCTACTCCTGTCCATGCTCAGTAGTCCTCAAGTCTCGTTTCAGTTTGGAAGCCCTTTGCTGTGGTGGGCGGCGGAGGACCCCGTGCTGAGCCCCTCTTGTTCTCGAGTTGCCCATCAGTGGCAGCCGCGCGTTACGCACGTTTCCAGGGGCCGGGATGTTCCCAAGCATGCTGGAGGGCTTGTGGTCTGAATGCTTCTTCACTGGTTGGCAGAAGTGTGTCTGCCTTCTGGCTCGAAGGCATTCGGCGTGGATTGTTTCCCAATTCCCAAGTGTCAGCTACAGGCTCAATGAAGCAGCTGGCTTCAACATCAGTATTCAGGGTGCTTGGAATGGGGTTGGAGCTCGGCGGTATACAGTGTACAGACCGACACTGAAGCAAGAGCGTGGCACATGGTTTAAGCGGAGTTGGGTGTTTACTTGAACTGCTGGCCTAGAAAGTTCGATATGGTTTGATCCGCCTCAGACTCCTGCCGCCAGCTGCGGGGACATAACCTGGACTCCTTTGTTGCCCCGATCTTCCCGGGTCCCCGTGAGGTTCCGCCAACTGTGCGCCAAGGTGGACCAAAGGAAAGAACAGCCTGATCTTTGTGATTTTCGATTCGTAGTTCTGGGAGGTGGTGTGCTAGTTCTAGCATTGGCAGTCAGTACGAGTCATCGGCTAGGGCTCGCATCTAGAACCGAGGAAGCAGCAGCTCCTTAAAGCTGGGTGAAAGGTGTCGTCGATGTTTCTGAGCGGACAGATAGTTAGTCGAGGCGAATCAACCATTAGTGCGCACATGGCGTGTTCTGTGCTGTTGCTTGCCTCTTCGCCCGTGGCCAGCCACCGAGATTTCACTGTCAATGTGCATGCAGGATCTACGGGACCGTGTGTTGCAGACATCAGGAAGTGGTGCCATGTGCATGAAGGAGTGCGTAGGAAGCATTTGCAGTACCTGTAAGCTATCCAAGCTTTCGCAGTTCGGTGCTTTGAGCACCTGGATTTTCGTGCAGACAACCATCCGACCAAGCTGTGGACATGGGAAGCAGCCAAAACAGATAAACCATGAGCTAGACCTCTTGAGTTTTCATGGAGTGCCGAAAGTATGGTTTTTGCATTCCAGTCGGGAGCCATGTAGGTTTTAGGAAGCCTGGGCGGCGCAGCACTGGCAAGACGTGCAGATGCGAGCAGAAACCCCTGACCTGCTGTAGCATAGTATGCTTGCCGAAGTCTTTTAAATGAGAAGCCAGGGGTCGCCAGCATGAAGTGGTTGGTTGCTGCCTTTGAGTCTCGCACAAGATCCTCGGATGGGCTTCCGACCCACCTTGATCTGAGCATGCACTCAAACTTCGAAAGGCCTGGAGGCCTGGGCTCAGGCTTTTGCAAGCCTGAAGTTACTGTTGCGTTTGGGTGCCGACTGTTCTGTTGTATGACCGCATCGTGCCACCCAATGCCGAAGATATGCATAGACTGTCGGGTCAGCGCCATTCGTTTAAGTCTTGGCCAGACAAGCTGCCAAGGGTTCACACACATGTCTAAGCATTACATCATCTGGACACTCGCCATCTATCACCTACAGTGCCTTGACAATAGTGGTGAACGGGCACTGCATAGGAGCCCGTTCCGGGATAGACCCTGTTGTGCGGAAAGGATAGGGGTCTCTACCCGGATGGTCGTATCGTCGCTCTGTCTGGCCAAGATGAGGCAGCAAGCAGAGAGAGCTTCACTGTTTCCGAGCTCCCATCGCTTCTTCGAGCTAAGGAAGGACTGCTACAAGACATCGCTTGATCACACAATCGATCTCAGGGTTGCGCCCCCCACCCAGCCAACCAATCAGCCAGCCAGCTAATTGGCCAGCAAGCCAGTCAGGCAGACAGGCAGCCCGCCAGCCGACCAAAAAATGCACACATAAGGACATAACGCTACACATAAACAGGTGTATACATATATGCACAAATTATACATATCATTTACATATACATGTACACACACACACACACGCAGAGACAAGTACAAACACAGACCCAGACCAAGACCCCCGCACACCCACACGCACCACACGCCCATGCGCGTGCATGCTCGTGCGCGCGCACGCACGCACGTACGCACGCGCACACACACACACACACACGCACACACACACTTACACACACACACA